ATCTGAAAAAATATATTTATTAAAATTTTTATCAAATAAAACTATATTATGAAGAGCATTTTTAAGTAAAATAGCTCTTTTTAATATTATTTTTATAGAATTATAATGAGTTTTAATATCTATTATTAATTCTAATTGTTGAAGTTTTAATGCAATACATTGTTGAGAAAAACTTTCATGTTTTTAAGATGAAATACAAATTTTTACTATTAATTTTTAAGCTAAATAATAGTATTAAATAATTTAATTATTATTAATAAAAATTACTTTTAAAATTACTTTTATTAAAAAATAAAAAACTTACTTTATATATAATATATTTTAACTGTTTATCAGTTTCTATTTCTTCATTTAAAATACTTTTATTATTTGAATCTAATACATAAAAATTTTAAGTACTTTTTTGTACATCTCTATTAATAATATATGCAAGATGTCTAATATATTGATGATATAGATCAAACTCAATATTTTGTTTATTTAAACTTAAAAAAATTTCTTTTAATATTTTATTCATATTTGATACATTATCATATATTATTACTAAAATCTAAATTAAAATATAAAATTATTAAATATAAATATAAAAATTACTTTTTAATTAATTTATATACTTTAGCTGAAAGATTAAATTCAAGTAAAACTTCTAATAATTTATTTGCAAAATTTTCTTTAAAATATAAATTTGATAATTGATAAAAATCTAAAATAATATTTTGTATTTATCAATCATTATTAATTCAATGTACTGAAATTCCAAGAAAGAAAAGTTGATTTTTACTTATCCAACTATCAATTGTAAATGAAAATAAATTAGTTGCTTCCTATAATTATTTTAATATATATATTAATATTTAATTATAATAATTAATTTATTAATAAAAATAATTATTTATAATATTTAATAAATATTATCTTTTATTTATATAAAAATTATATCTAAATCACATTGTAAAGTATCTATTGATAGTATCATTAAATCAAATTTTAAAAAAGATAATATATCTTTAAATATTTGTTCTTCAACAACTGTAAATAGTTGATCATTAATTATATTCAATTAAGTAATTTTTTTTAAATTCTTATAATAAAAACTTTTTTTTTTATATTATTGATTAATATTTAAGAATACTTTGATGATTATTTCTTATATGTCTCTATAATGCTGAAATAGCTTATCACTAAAGTTTTTGCTATTATATAATAAAATTTAATTAAAATTAACTAATCTTTAACTTAAATATAAATAAAAATATACTAACTTGCAATAATTGCAATTCTAATAATGTGTTGAAGAATCTAATTTAAAATATTGATAAATTTCAGAAATTCTTTTTTTTGTAAATTAAAGATTTTTGTTTATTGTTAGAATTAACATTTAATTGAATATCTTGATTGCTTTATAATATAATTAAATTTGAAATAGTTTTTTTTTTAATATAAAAAATAATAAATAATTTTAGAATAATTATTCAAAATGATACTAAAATTACAAGCCTTTTTATCTATTTAATATAAGTAAAAAATTTTTAAAAAAATTATTGAGGTGATTTACTTTAAAAAATAAGTCACAGAGACTAATTCTTTCAAAGAAAATATCTTTAGAAATGTTTATCTTTGAAAAAAATATCTTAAAGGTAAAATCCTTCAAAGGAAACGCTTCTGAAAGTAATTTTTTTTGAAAAAAATGTCTCAAAGGTAATTCTCTTTAAGGAATACACCTTCAGAAGAGTTTTCTTTAAAAAATGCCTTCAGAAGTACTTTTTTTTAAGAAAAAATGCCTTAGAGGTTATTTTCTTTAAGAGAAACACCTTCATAAATGTAAATTTTTAGAAATAGCTTTAGAGATATTTTTCTTCAAAATTTCTAACAAAGAAACGCCTCTGAATGTGATTTCTTCAAAAAAAGTTACAGAGACAAATCCCTTCATGAAAATTGCTCTATAAATAAAATTCTTTATGAAAATTATTCTGGATATGAAATCTTTTAAAAAAATCACTCTAGAAGTGAAATCCTTCAAGAAAATCTCTTTAAAAGTAAAATTCTTAATGAAAATTATTTTAAAAGTAAAGTTCTTTATGAAAATCACTCTAAAAGCAAAATCCTTCAAGAAAATTGCTCTAGAAGTGAATTCTTTATGAAAATTATTCTGGATATGAAATCTTTTAAAAAAACACTCTAGAAGCGAAATCCTTCATTTTAAAAGTAAAATCCTTAATGAAAATCATTCTAAAAGTAAAGTTCTTTATGAAAATCACTCTAAAAACAAAATCTTTCAAGAAAATTGCTCTAAAAGTGAATTCTTTTAAAGAAATTATTTTGAAAGTGAATTTTTTTAAAAAAAATACTCTGAAAGTAAAATATTTGAAGAAAATCGCTTTAGAAGTAAATTTTTTTAAGAAAATACTACTGTATGCATTTTTCTTCAAAGAAAATGTCACTGGACTAATTTTTTTCAAAGAAAATATCATTATAACTATTTTTCTTTAAAAAACACCAGGGGTATTTTTCTTCAAAGAAAATGATACTAGAATCATTTTTTTTTTAAAAAAAATGTCACTGAGGTCATTTTTCTTCAAAGAAAAACTGCTTTTAAATTTATTTTTTTCAAAGAAGAAAATACAAGCCAATGAACTAAGCAGCGGTATAAATCATGCTACAGTATAACCTAGTTTATCTGACTTGCAGGTTATTTTATAGTAGTTTAAGCTAAGTCTAAATGAGCTAATTCATTTGACTTATAAGTGATTTAGCTTATGCGAAGTTCTAGTTCTAATAAAAATATACTTAAACGTAATAAAATAATAAAATAATAAAAAGAAATAAATAAATTATAGATGTTAAGAAAATTATAAGTGAAATAGAATAAACAGAATAAATAGTTATACAGAAAATATAGGAGAAATAGAAGAAACAGGCAAAATAGAAATCACTATTTGATGTAATAATGATATGGGCTCTTTACAATAGAAAGGAAGGAAACTACCAAAAAAATTTTTTTTGTGTTAATGTTAAATTTGAACTTATTTTATTAAAAAAATAATATTTAGTTTATAAAGTAAAAAAAAATTTTTTTAGTAGTTTTCTCCCTTTTTATTGCAAAGAGTCTATATAATCATATTAATATAACAAATCATAAAATTGTAAAGGTAAAGTTTATTAAATTACAAATAATGTTATAGATAAAGCTTAACATTATATTAGTACTTTAATTAAAATAATTTTTTAGTTAGCAAAAATAATATTTCATTAAATAAATTATCTAAAATTACAAATCTTTGTAGAATTTTTGAATACCCTCATCTATTATTTATTAACTTCTAATATAATTATTTATGAAAATAATATATTTAGACATAAAATCTTATCTGTTATTTTAAATTTAATTAAAAAAACTATTTGAAAAGAATTAGATAAAGCTACTATATTTAGTAATATGATTGATAAAAATATAATATTTCATATAAATTTTATCTTATTATATATATTATATACTATCTATATAGAAATATTAAAATTTATTTTTTAAAATTACTTTAACTAAAAAGTAAAGATTAAAATTTATTTTTAAAATAATTATTAATTTGTTAGATAAAAAAAGTAAGTCTTTAAATATAATTTATTATTTATTTATTATTTTTAATAACTAATTTAAATTTTTTTTTAAAAGTTTAACAAATAAATTTATGTTATTTGCTTTAAATGAAGCAAAACAATAGGAATAGCATTAAAATTAAAAAGAAATAAATGTTTATTATAATACATTATATTGTATACAGATTAGCTTTAGCTTACAATTCAGCAAAGAAAAAAGTAGATTTTTACAAATATGTTAAGTATATTATAAAGTCAAAATATTTTTTTTTCTAATTCTAACAAAAGAATGGATATTTTACATAAATATCAAAAAATATTAGAACATTCAATTTGAAAATTAAACAAATCTATGAAGTTTGATGGTTTTCTTAATATAAAATAATCAAAAATTTATATTTTTCAATTAAAATTTTAATGGATATATTATTGGAGATAATAGCAATAACAACTAAAAATTCTTAAAAATAGAATTTTATTTCTTTATATATAAAAATATATGATTGAAAGTTACTTGCTTTTTATATTTTTTATGAAATATTCTTGAATATCTTTCAACTCTAAAGTTTTTCAACAAAAAAATATTCAAATATCTGATAAAAATCCAATAATAGAATTAACTCTTAATAAAATTCATATAAGAATTCATGGATTATAATTATAGATGCCTACTAAAACCTCGTCAAAATTATTTCTTGATACCCTTTTTATGTTTTAATATAGTTTTGACAGTTTCTTATTATTAAGGTTTCATCTTTTATCTATAATTATAATAAAGAAAGGTTATTATTTGAAGAAAATATAAATAGATTTTATTAAATATATCATTAGAAGTAAATTGTAATATCTTTTGCATCAGCTGTTATTTCTAAAATTCAAGAAAGATTTCCTGATAGACCTTTGCTTAATTCTATGAAATACTTAATCATGCAAATTGACCAGATAAAAAAGAGGAACTTACAAAATATGACGAACAAGAATTGAACATTTTATCAGAATTTTATAAAAAAGAAGTTAATAAGAGTGGTTTGTATATAAAGCAATAGTATATTCAAACTTTAGAAATATAAAAATTAAAGTATTAATTCCAAGGTTATTTGTTATCAAATTACTAGGAAGAATTTGATTTTTCTCTAATAAAAAAAATTTTTACATAAAAACTTATTTTTTAAATTATTAATAAATTAATAAAAATTTATATAGCCGGTAAAATATTTTCTTTCCGGATTAATGACCGGTAAAATTCAATTTCTATTTTAAGCACTGATGTTCAGTTAAAATTTCATGTATTTATAGTTGTGTTTACTTTATCATTTGTTTTACGATAAATCGAATTCCTCCGTTAGCAGAAATCATTTTTTTTTTGCAATAAGCAGTAAGATCACTCCGGACTTAACAATAGTCAGATGAATTCTAACTTAATAAGGCGGCCAGTGATAAACGTTTTTTCACCGAAGACACCAGAAGAAAAAAAAGACTTTTCACAGTCAATTCGCCGTATTTGTGGCTATTTGACACATAGGGATCTTTCAGCTTTGAGTTGTGTCTGTAAGGCTTTTTATGAAGTCCTTACAACCTTTGAGAACGAAATATGGCGAGTTTCAAGGATCAAATTCAATTTGGCAAAAGGACTTCCTCCACCAAAAGATTTACTTGAGCGTGAATATGCAAAGTTGTTTAATTATTCTAAGGGGTGTCAAAACTGTAAATCTTATAAGCATCTGCGAATATATTGGCTTCCTCGTATAAGATCATGTCCAAACTGTATTAAGATAAATGCAATTAGGTGAGCCATAGTATCTCTTTATATGATAGATATGTCTGTCATGCGTATTGTATTGTGACGTGACGTTTAAAAAAAAATTTTTTTTTCCTTTTATATCAAAGTTACAGAGACTTTGCGGAATTAAATTGGTGGGGATTTCCAGAATGTATATTTAATGTTGCACCGATTATCTCCTATGAATTTGATTTCAAGGATGGCATGGATTATTATTGGCTTCCTCAAGTTTATTCTTTAGCTCAAGAATATAGAAACCTGAATCTCAGTATGCAGGGTGAAGATGTTCTAAATAATTGGTTATCGACAAAGAGAAAAAAAAAAGCTGAACTATTAGAAGATGCATTTTTTCGACATAAACAATTAATGAACACAGAATTTTCAATCCTTTTTCGGACTTCATTTGAGCCGGGAGAATGGATTAAAATGATTGAATCGGGAATAAATGATGGTTCCAAGCAACGAATTGGCATTAATGAAGCAACAAGAACGTCCGAGGATCAAAATAATGTTGATAAAGCTGTAATTCCTTCTTTTGCACAGGGTGGTGAATCGTTATTATCTAGTACAAATTCAATGAATAATACCAGCAAACGAAAGAAAAAACGATCAAGGGCAGAAAAACGATTAGAGAGGAGAGCAAGACTACTTCGAGAAATAGAAGAGGAAGAATAAATTAGAAAGGATTGTCATGGATTAAGTAGAGACAAGAGAACAAAGTATAACTTAAGACGATATATAATTAAACCAAAAGAACCGATCCCCCCCAAAAAAAAATCAGCATCATCTAATGAGAAAATGGTTCATAGAAGCCCAAATCTTACAGAACAAAAATTTAGTTTCTCATCCTTTTTTCAAAGAAATTTCTTTTCATAGATTGACGAAATTGTCCAGGAGTTCTAATTCTTCTCCATTTCCATGTTTATAGGTAATAAATTTATCGGGATTATCAATATCATTACTCTTTACCCTGTTCATTCTTCTCATCATTTAATAACTCTATAGGACCTAGTATCATATAGTACGTAGTACCCTTTGTTGACGTTATTCATATTAGAATCGTATTGTAACGAGCAAATAAATATTTTTAGCATATATTGCGTATGTTGATTTTAAATAATAACTTTAATAAAACAGCGAACGTTTTTCTGCGGATTTAAATGAAGAATTATTTATTTCATATACATTTATAAACGTTATTTAAAATTTCTTGGTTACAAGTAAATTCAAGTAAATTTGAATTGGATATTTATTATATAAATTTATAACCAAAAAAAAAAAAAAATCAAACAAGTCTATTTAGTTTAAGGGAGAAGAATAGAATATCATTGCATAACACGAAATGCACACAATACAATGATATTGTTGTGTACATGGCATTGATAGAAATGCCTTCTTTGCGATTTTCATTTTTGGAAATTCTTTGATGAAACCATAAATGGTAATAGCGTAGGCATTGACAATTGTTTAACTGTCATAATCACCTAGACACTCTCCCAACAATATAAACAATAAAGAAAATGTTAACTTTGTAGCACCTAAAGATCCAATCCTTTGAGATTTCGGGCTACCAAAAAGCAATTATATATATTGTTTAACTGTTGAAAGGAGATTTTCTTTCCAAAGGATTTGAGTTGATGGCATCTCTAAAAAGAATGTGAGATATTAATATCTTAATTGAAGTTCTTAACTTCAATCAAGAATGTTGTCCACATATATACCTCTTTCAAAACGATTCCATTCTGAATTATTGTAAAATCTTTAAATCTAATATCCACAATATGTGGAAAAAATCCATATTCACATGTCCCTTAATTTATGCGAAAACTTTACATAATCTGTAATGAACTCGGATTTACGAACTAAATCCCAAGCTTTCATGGCACTTCTGAACCTATAAAATAAAGAAATTATTTTCTTTAAAAATAAATTTTTAAGACAATAGAGGCAAGATGATTTTACCATTCTTTTTCGGAAACTTGTCCCTTTTTGCCAATTTTTTTTGGCAATTCAAATATTTGGTCTCTCATTGATTCTGCCAAAACTAAAAATGTATCTGGTACATTCAAATGGTTAGAAGCCATTCCTTTTCCTTTAACGTTAATAGGCTGATTCTCGAAAGGTAAAAGAAATAAGTTTGGCATCGGATGATCATCGGAACGTTTATACGTAGTCAAAGTTTTGGCCAAGGAGACCGTGCCTATTTATTAAAAATATTAGAAATAGATGAACTGCTAAATTCTCAAAAGTATTATAATGTAACTGTCAATTACCAAAAATCTTTAAATTAGATTCTTGAAACATTTTAATCAACATATCACACATGAGATCGTATTTGACAGTTGTATACTCTAAGGGCGAAGTTTTATTGCACACTAAAACTGATAAATAAAAAGTTAATAATTAATTAAAAATAAAAGGTTATTAATGAAGGTACATATATTACCGATATCAGGATAATATTCGATTCCGTTGTCAGTCGAAGCCAATGATGGTACTGTTGGAAATTCGGGAATCCTATATTTCAACATTTCAGCTTTCTTCAAAAAATTCCATGTAGAATAATCAATGCTTTCAGTAACAACTATAACAACATTACAAACAGAAAATAGAAATACGGCAAGTTGGAGAGACTAATTTTAAAAGATAATAATTAATATAAATATTTATTTACATAAAAAAAAAATTTTCTAAAAGTTGGTTTACAGCTAACCTGTAATTCAAGCCAAACCTCAGGTGTCATATTCTCAGGAATATAATCGTTTCTGATCGCGTGTTCCAAAACTGAGAGGCTAGAAATTGGCTACGTAAAATGACAGAAAAATAATTATATATATATAATAATAAAATTAAGTTTTTAATTAAAAAAAAAAAAATATTGATAAAATACCTGAGTATCTAAGAGAACAATTTTTTCAGGTGTGACATGAATATCGATTCCAATTGTTTCGTGACTTGCAAAGTTCAAGGCATCTATCGATTGACTCGAAAATGCCTGATATTATTATGTAATTCACCGATGAATTAAATAAAAGCTCAAAAAATGCTAAAGTGATGGTGCTGAATTATTTATGCGCAACTGACATTCTGCGGATCTTGACATAAGGTAGAAATAACGGTAGATTTTCCCGATCCTTGTGGTCCAAATACACCTACAACGAAATGACCAGGAAGATCACTCAAGACCTAAATTTCATGTAAATGTCAATTTCAAGTTAATGTGTATTTTATAATAGCGGAATAAACTGCATTCGAAAATTACGCTTACATACTTTTAGCAACCAACCTTTAAGACGGATTCATTATTAAACATTCCCTTCTCATTAACCATTTTAACAAACGGTCTCTCAAGTGATTTTCCTCGCGTATTAATAGATTTGATTTCTACACGTGGAGCAATAACTGGGGTAACTCGACTAAATGTTTCTTCTTGAACTGGTGTAAAACGAGAAGTTTGGGCAGAAGTTTCTGATGCTTTTTTTGTCAATATGGAAGGTTGAGAGGGACTAGTAGCTTGAGGTTTACGTTCTAAAATAACAGGTGCTTGATAAAAGGATTTGGGCAGGTGGTCGGGTGTTGGAGTCGTCAGAGACCCTGAGGGAGATTCCTAACATGCACTTTTAGTGTCTAAAAAAGTAAAAGCGAAACGAAAATCAAACAGAAAACGCTAAAGTGAGGATTTCGCTTAATACCTTTGGTTTTCTATCGCGTCTCCGACCTCCCCCTTCTCCACGTATACGTTCTCCTCTTCCACCACCTTCTCTACGAACTCCTTTAGGGTAACCGTTACCGTTATTACCAGTATCACGAGCACCTCTTCCGGATCTTCCATCTTCATTGCGTTCTTCTGCATCACGGTTGTTATCTCCCTTCGCCATAGAAATAATAAAAAATTTAAACGTTATAATGTGTATTAATTAAACGAATAGAAAATTTGATTTTTATACGTATACCTATCACTTTTATCACGTGAACAAATGACAATTAATTAGTCTTATCAATCGTTCCATGATAATCATAATCCATCATTTTCTTTCTTTTCTTTCTTGGATTTCTCTAATTTTTTTTTAAAAATTTTTTTACTATGTCGGTATGTTTCAACTAACAACTTTTGCAATTTTTCAATTATAATATATTTTAAAAAACCTCTTTTTTTTTTTTTTTTTTTTTTTTTTTTTTTTTTAGCACTTTGATGTAGATGAGTATAGCCTCCATACAAGCCCTGTTGGGAATGATTTGGGGTATCGTATTCATTTTTTTTTTTTTTTTTCCCATTTTTGTATTTCCTTCTTAACCCGCTTTAATAAAACTTTTACTTCAGCAATGAAGAAGATCCTGTTCAAGATCATAGACCGCGATTATTGATTATGGGCCTAAGGAGGTGGGTAAGAATATAACTTTTTTTTTTTAAAATGACTGTCAACATGATATCTGATTAACAATTTAAAATATATCTTTGTAGAAGCGGCAAATCCAGTATCCAAAAAGTCGTATTTCATAAGATGCCTCCTAATGAAACTTTATTCCTTGAAAGTACTAACAAAGTTATTAAAGAAAATATAACGTAAACTATTTTTTATTTAATGAAAAATTTGAGGTATTTTATATATATATATTAATTTATTTTTATGTCCATTTAGGTCGTTTATTGATTTTCAAGTTTGGGACTTTCCTGGACAAATTGATTATTTTGATCCAGCTTTTGATTCAAATGTTATTTTTGGAGAATATGGAGCATTAATTTTTGTAATTGATGCGCAAGTAAGTTAAAGAGTCCATTTGATCAAAAATTATCAACAAATGTAATTACTTAATCTCATCCGTGATAATAGTGAATTTTCTTTAAAATTTTAGGATGATTACATTGAAGCCCTTAGTAGATTACATCAAACCGTCACACGTGCTTTTCAAGTCAATCCCGATCTCACATTTGAGGTGTTTATACATAAAGTTGATGCCTTATCAGATGAATACAAAATTGACACGCAACGAGACATTCAGCAGCGAACTACAGATGATTTGGTGGACGTTGGATTAGAAAACGTTCCATTGAGTTTCTATTTAACAAGTATTTACGATCATTCAATCTTTGAAGCTTTCAGTAAAGTGATTCAAAAACTTGTGCCTCAACTACCAACTTTGGAAAACTTATTGAATATTTTATGCTCGGTAAATGTCGTAAAAGCCTCATATGTTTATTTATCAAATACAAATTAACATTTTTCATTATAGAATTCTGGAATAGAAAAGGCATTTTTATTTGATGTCAATTCGAAAATTTACATTGCTACCGATAGTTCTCCCGTTGATATGCAGACCTATGAAATTTGTAGTGATATGATTGACGTTATTATTGACATTTCGGAGATATATGGGTATATTATTATTTTTAAGAATGATCGATTAAATTTAATGATTTTGAAATGTATACTCACTTTATTGTTGGATCTCTTTTAAAAGTCGAACCAATTCATTTCATTATATCGATGAAATCTATGGAGATGATCAAACCCAAGTTGAAACAAATGGAAATGCAGGAAATTATGGTACAACCACCGATACTGCTAATGATGCATCATCATTAATCAAACTAACTAATGGAATGGTATTATGTCTCAGGGGAGTAAACAGGTATATGTTATATCTAATCCTTCTTAATTAATATATTAATCGAAACTAATACATATTTATTTAAAAGGTTTCTTGCGTTAGTTTGTCTCCTTCGATCTGATAATTTCGAAAAACATGGTTTAATAAATTATAATTTTGGATGCTTTAAACAAGCAATAGCCGAAGTTTTCGAATTAAAACGTCATAGTGCTGCTGAAAGGTTAAGACGTGAAAGGATGAGACTCTCGGAAAGTGTCGAAGATAATGTTGGGGGATGAATATTATTTTTTTTTATTATTGAGATATTTATTGAAAGTAAATTAAATAGAATTATTTAATTAATAATAATAAAATAGCTTGTGTTTAATATTAGAAAGAAATGTTGTTTTGATTTGAATGAGTTTCACTGAATTTTATTTTAAGAGAGTTGGGAAAAGAATTTCAAAAAGAATTGTAGATTTATTCCATATTATCAATTATACCGTTCCGTGATTTTCGAACATTCCAGAATAAAACACACATTTCGTATTATTAATAAATTCGAAAACCAGTACTGTTTAACTTGTTTCCGTCTGCGTTTTATACTAAATATAAGGAAAAATAGGTTTTACAAATACTGTATTGTTATTATCTCACATCCTCAAACAAAGAACATATTTTATTTTTTTATTTACAGTAAGAAACTAAATACAATCTGGATCAAAGCAAGATTACCTATCTAAGCGCAAAAAAGATTCAAAGAGACATATCATACGCCGGACATGTCGCATGTCGATCATAGCAAATGACATTTATATAGATGTCGATCATTTGATCGACAAAATTTTATATGCTTTTTCGCACTTTTTTGACTTTGTGTATAAGCCAACTGTGTGACCTTACTAACGTTTTTGAATTTCTGTCTCACATAAAACGTTCGCTCACTTCTCAAAAACATTTTTGTAAGTTTTAAAAGTTAAACAGTTCGGTAGTTTTAAGAAGATCTCTTCAAACAAGTTGTCTAAATAATACTAAATGAAATTTTTTTTTTTTACAGGTATTTTATATTTATTAGAATAGAATATTAATATAGAATATTAAATTTTTTTCAATAATCTCCTATAATATATAATTTTAAATTAGTAAAATATATTATTTTCTTATTATTTAATAATTGTTCTTATATATTTTATTGGTTTTTTATTAACATTGTCTATTTAACTAAAATGGAGTCATCCAAGAAAAAGATAAATTACTTACTTTAATAAGGTTATTATTTCCGCCAAGTTGTATTTAAATTCAAAGCATTTATTAAGAGCTTGTCACCATAAAATTTTTTTTATTTAAAAAATCGATTTTTTGTATATTACATAAAATCCAACTGAAAAACACACTTTACAACCTAAGAGAACCTTCTTGCTCACATAAAATTACATCTATTTTTGTTGTATATTTGTATCCACTTGTAAGAAGATCTTTAAAAAACTTATTTTTAAAGCAAAATTTCACGTAAATGTAAAAAAAGTAATTGTTTAAAAAGGTTATAATTGATTGAATATATGATGATCTATTAATTTCTTAATTAATATGATTGGTAAATGTAAAATATTGCGATAGTTAACTATAGAGTATTGTAATTCAATTATAGTTACATAAAATTTTTTTAATATGAAAATGATCTGCGTACGACATATCTGATGCTTGATATGATGTTTCAGTTGAAATGTTGCGATGATGAACTGCTTCTAAAAAGGTTATTATCATTAAAACACCTGGAGAAAATGATTCTACTCGAATACAGAGCCTTTGAAAATGAGTAGCAACTCACGCAAAAGGCTAAAGTTTGCTATGTTAGAGTCAGCTCAAAACATCAACGAAGTGATTTTAAATGACAGATTGCAGATCTCTGACAACATTATCCAGAATATAAAATTATCAGTAACATCAGTTTAAGACTCAACTGGAAGCGCAAGGGGTTTGTTTTCCTTTTTTGAACGAGTATACTCTAATGGAATTGAAGAGGTAGTGGTTACCTTAAAAGACTATTTGTATTGCTTTATATCTGAATCTGTGGAGTGAATCTTTGAAAAAAGCTAGATACAGCTTGTGATTCTCAGTTCAGACATTTGTATCAATGATAATGAAATCAGAGAATTTGCAGAAGATTTACTTACAATCATCATAGTATTTGTAATGTGACATAATAGACTATGTTCTGCCGCAAATTATAAAAAAGAAAAGATGCCACCCAAGAAAAAAGAAATGAAAAAACTTTTAGCAGTCAAAGTATAACGCATCCACCTTTTTTCCATTCAGGAGGAGCAAATAAAACTCAGGTAATAAATAGGAACAGCATGATAAACATATAATCAATGTCTTATCACAATCAAAAAAGAAGGTGTCAATCAAAAAAAAGGATTTAAGGGCATGATGTCTCAATGCTATAAACTTCAATAATATTAAACTTAAATGAGTTCTTGAGACTTCCTATGATATACGAGATGAAGCTATGAATGATTTGCTTAAAGCATATCCTTTCAACTTTACTACAAATTGTAAAAAATTTAAGATAAAGTTCTATTCTAAAAAGGATTCTCAATAGTCAATTGCAATACTTTCCAAATACTGAGGTAAGTCTCATAATAAATATGCATTTATTCATAAATTAAGTTAGCAGAGTCTCTTCTAAGTCAACTTAAATATGATAATCATCTTGTTATAAATCGTCTTGGTGAATTTTATCTTTGTATATCTAAACTACTTGAAATACATGTTAAAAACTAAAGTCCTTTATTTTCAAAAATACAAAAAAAGATCTTTATTTTTTTTATTATATTAATTATATATTACAGTAGCGGTCATAAATATCTGACCATTTCTAACTCCAACTACAAGTAAGTAAATTCAAAAATTTTTTTTTTATTTAAAAAATACATAATCAACTAACTAAAATTAATACATTGTGTAGTCACCATCTGACTCTA